TTGTAGCAGAGACCTTTGTCTCGACGATTTTGCATTTCTGCCCACATTAATTTCTTGAATGGAATTACGGGACTCGGGCCTAAGTTACCTAGTGGTTTGCCTAATATGTTGTTGTCTTTAACGAACCTCATCCCTTCTGATCTTGGTGCAGTAAATGATTTGTTCGTTTGTTTCCAGGGCCTGTTTAGACGTCGGGCTCAAGCTATCTTTTCTTCTTGGGTGCGGGCTAGGGTTGTCGCGGCCATTACCGTTGCTGGGTGCATCGCCTTAACCTCCAACTGGATTTCTTCCTTGAGTCCTCCCACAAAAGCTCCGACCAGAGCCTTCTTTGGCCACCCTTGGACTCTCAATGATAGACGTTCAAACACCAATTGGTAATCACAAACACTTCCAATTGTTTTATCTTCGCAAGACTCTCGTCAAAATCTTCATAACCGGAAGCCCCAAATCGGATGCACAGAGCATCCGTGAAGTCGAGCCATGAAATACAAGGATGTCCTCAACAGTACCATTGATACCAAAGGATGGCATCTCAGTCCAAATGCATTGCTGCCAATGCCACCCTATTTGGTCCGATGTCTCGTTATATTCAAAAAATCTTTCCGCCCAACATACCCATGGGATGGGGTCTCCGCCTGAGAAAATTGGGAAGCTCGGTTTGGTGTTTCTCTCCAAGATGGAGCTACTTCTTCGATTGCTTCCTTTGCAAGATTTCTGTTAAAGTATCCTTGATACCTAGCATCTCGCCTGAAACTCGGTGGAGCTCAACTTCCACCTGATCAACCCGGGCCTCCAGGGCTGTAGATCGCATATTGGTCATGCTCTGATACCAATCTGTTAGGTGCTACCTAACTCAGGGTTCGTAGAGTGAACCAACATCGTGAGGGAAGAGGAAACTGAAGGGAAACAGGGATAGGGGAAGAAAAGGGGATTCAGAGGCAGAGAGAGATTTGTTCAAATGGAATTCCATGGCTCTTTATTTCTTCTTTGGGTTTTTATAGACAGGTAAGTTGTTTACAGTTGCAGTCTGTTACAAGATGTTACAGCTTGTTGTAGGACTGTTATTCTGTTCTAACAGTCAGCCACTTGGACTACATTCTTGCTAACGTGACTTCTCCCTTTTTTTGTAAACTTGGTAGGTAGGTTGGCTATTCCCATGCACAGGCCTTGGTTTGTCGCAGCTCTTGGTCTTATCAAGATGAGAAAACATGGATTCATGGAACATCATGGAAAAGTATATACTATTAAAATAATTCATATTTTATGAATTCTAACATTATATACCTGCAAAAAAAATTGCCCTTTTAACCAAGTAATGTTTGATATAAAAAAATAGCATAAATCTTATACATTAGCTGCTATTTATGTCAAATAAGCTAGGAGATTAAAAGGAAATGTTACATAGAAGTGTCCTTAAGAAACCACGGAGTGTAGAACTTCAATGTGTGCCCAACATGAGCACATTGTCCTTTTGGGAGAGGTAGTGATTTAAAAAGCACACGTAGGCACACAGGAAAGGTGCATTTTAAGGTATGTGCCTCACCTAGACCCTAGGAATACCACTTTCAAAAGGCACATGCCTAGTGTGCCTAGACATGTGTCTGATGCACCTTGCACCTCAGACCAGGCATGTGTTTTTTTATCCTTTTGAGTTGTTTGGTGTTTCTTAAGAACCCCCTATTTGTTAATGTTGTCCATTGATCCATCCTAATAAAAGATATTTTTAAAAGATAATTAAAATAATAAAATCATTTTTATGGATTAAGAATTTAACACCCTAACGTGGATTTGTTTGAGCTTGCCTCAAGGGGTTTTGTATAAAGACATTTTGTGTTGTAGAATTAGGAATGAAAGATGTAACATGACACTAACCATTTGAAATAATGCAACTGAGAAAGATATAAAGAAACTAAAAGTTTGGCATACTTGAATATGTTTTGTATGCTATTTTTTTATTTTATTTTTGCAGTTTTCACTTTGAATATGTTTTATACGTTATGTTTATACATTTAAATTTGAGCTAATAGGTGTTTTAAAACATTTAGTTTAAAATTAAAGTTTGAAATTTTTTAATTAATACTATTTCTCAGTATTTTCTTAATTCGCTTTGAATTTTTACCTTTCTGCATTTTTTATTTTTCTTTAAATTTTGCACCTTACTTCAAACAGGCATGTGCCTCGCCTTTGCACTTTTTTGCACCTTGTGCTTTTAAAACACTTTGGAGAGGCCACACAACACCACATGCAATGTACACCATCTACCCAACATTGCATGCAATGAAACAATGTACACCACACAACACTGCATGCTAGTGCTTTCATGCTATTGACTCTTCCAAAATAGAAAATCTTTTAAAGAACTGTGGGACTCACTCACAGATATATCTTTCTAGATCTTAATCAAATAAATATGCCCCATCAAAAGTGACTGAATTTTTACTTTCCAATTGGTTAATGCCTCTCAGCAAGGAATTTAAATCAAACTTCTCTAAGAACCCAGTATCAATAATGGTGTTACAAAAGAAATAATGCAAGAAAGAACATTGTTTATGGAAAGGGACATCAACCCCCTATTGCAACAAATTGTGCTCTCCTTTTCAGACAAAACCTTACACACCATGTGGATGACAACTCCAAAATGGACAGCATAAACTGATCATAAACATTATCTTCATGTAAGCTTTTGGGGTTGGCTGCATGAATCCTGTTTCACCACTCCATTCTCTTTAGTATCATATCCACTTTTAAATAATGAGAACTTCAATCATTCCTTACTACTTCCACTATGTTCTTTTTAGTCTGCCCGAACTTATCAGAAACATATCATTTAAAAATTTTGTGTACAGCCATGTCAGAACAAGAATACCTTCATACTGCAACTCCTTAATAGTATCTTTAAAGACACAAAGTTTCTAGGATTTTTTTTTTGGCAAGTAACAAATTTCTACAACAATAAATATAGCGCTAAACAGAACGGAATGGTGAAACAAGACTCATGTACAACACCATATAGATGGGATTAGGCTTAGATGATGATGAAAAAAAATTATTTCAACAATGTCAAAAACAAAAGCAAATGTTATTTGTTGCAGTTTTAATGGATAAGCTAGAGTAATTGCAGATTTCCCGAATTGAGATATTGCCTCAGGCTCAAGATTTAAACTTTAAAATGTCAATGTCTGGAAATGTCAGTCATCCAAATATCGGATGGAAATATTGTAAAAATTATAGACATGGTGGAAACATTGTAAAATATGCAAAATATAGAATGGTATTTTATGAAATGACAAAGGAACCATAGGCACACCTTTTTAAATTATTATCTTGTTCCAAGTTATTAAACAAAACTAAGAAACTAAGGTTATAGACAAAAGAATACATTCTGAAATTGCCTTGTAAACCTTAAGCTTTAGAACTTCCTGATAGAATTAGTTAAAGCAAAATTTAAACTCATAGAAAATGAAATGGTTGTAACAGATCAAATCTACATCAGAAACAAAAACTATTATTTAGCTTCATGTTTGAAATGAATATTGAACTAGCTCAAAGTTGTAATCATGTAAGTTAGGTGGACAATAACTTGTTACTTCACATATCTACAATATTGTGACCAACTTATGTTATAATACTATCTCTTGTACTCCACATAGTACTGGTAGTGTTCAAAAGGAATATGCCAATTCTAGTAAAATTACAGGTTGCTACCCATGGAAGTGAAAATGGAAATATGTCATTGATACTATCTCTTGCACTCCACGTAGGTCTGGTAGTGTCCATTGGGGAAATGTCGATTCCAATAAAATTTTATGTTGCTACCCATGGAAATGGAAATATGTCATGGAAATATTAGGGAAATTAGGGACATTTTAAACCATGCTAGTCAAGCTAATAAAACTATCAATCCACCACAAGTTAACTACCATAGTGATCAAAGCAAATAAAGAAGAGAATAAAAACTCAACTGTTCTCCACTAATGGGTATACCATACATGGCAGATTGGCAGTAAACCTTTTTTGGTAAGCAAATGGGCTACACAATGGGGGAGACCCTTCCACAAACCCAAGACCCCCCACAACCCTGGTGAGGGTGGGATTTGATTCTATGTCTCTGCTACGACCAGCTAGAGACCTTACCAACAAGCCAGCTGGTACCTTTGGCAGTAAACTGCAGCATTGGATAAATAAAAAATGCACACATAAGAAAAAAAATGTATGCGTGGCACCAGATTAACCAAGATGAAGTATAAATTCCTGTAGAACTCATTTTAGTTTCAAGTACTTCTATAGTTTTATTTCCTGGTGCTCGCCGTTGCATAGATTAATCATCGAACAATGTACAAAAATGTGAGAGGATCACAGAACTATATGTTCTCCATCTAACCAAACGACCAACTCCAGGGAGTGGAAAATAACCAAGCCCCCAAACAACAGTTAAGTGCAAACATATATTGGAAAACAAACGTAAACTCTGCAGGCTAATCATTATCCGCATTGAATATCATTCCAGATTCAGTCCATCCAACAACTCAGAACTAGATTTCCCAAATGAGAAAAAAATAAAAAAAAATGAGTATATTTCTTAAAATTCTACAATCTCAGGAACACTACTACCGTCCAAAAATTCAGATCACGTTCACATCCCAAAAAAAATCGAAAAGAAAACCTAATCTGGAATCTTCAAACTTCGTCCTACTGCATCAAAACTGAACCCTAACTCAACTGCCACGCACGATACCAAAGATCTCAATAACATCTTCCCTCACTCATAATGCCCAAACGAACCAGAGATCAAAATCCAGAAACAAGAAAACCACATTACCAATCGAATCACGAAACCCCAACGGTCAAAAAACCAAAATCCCAAGCCGATCCACCACAGACCACGAAGCATACCAGAAAACCCAAACATGAAACACAAAATCAAATAAAAGAACGAAAAGGTAGAAACAACTGAGAGCAAACCAGCAACCAGACTCCGAAGAGAAATTAGAGAAACTAACCTGGCGAAGAGAAGCCGATCGGGCGGTCCTTCTTCAATGGCGATCCGGAACCGAAACCTGGAAATGAAGATTGGAAGGGTGAAACGGAAAGCAGACAAAATTAGGGTTTTGGTTGCGAGATTAAAATTTTGGGGTAAGCAAGCGAGCAAGGGAAAATAACAGAACGGGTGTTGTGTTCTCGTCGTCTGCTCGCTCTCTCGATCTCTCGTTCCTTGTTTCCCTTTTTTTCTTTTTCTTTTTCTTTTTTTTTATTTTTACTTTTTATTTTTTATAATTTTATTTATTGTCATTTTCTCTATTTTCTGTGCGCGAAATGAACATTTTGGGCGAATTAATTGGAGATTTGGAGTCCGTCGATTTACCTAAATAGAGATCGGCCGGCACTCGAGTCCGAACCAAATGGGAAAGTCTCCGTATAAAAGGCTGTTAAATACCGGGCGTTTCGAATTCATCGGCAAATAAAACACGGATCGGTTCTTTAGGGGTGCAAATCGGGCCGGGTTGATGTCAATCTAACCCAACCAGGTCTAGAAGTTGGTAGGGGTGCAAATGGGTCGGATGATTCAAAGTTCAATCTTGTTTTGTTGAATTCGGATATCTCTATTTTGGATCTTCAAGTCGGTAGGATAATAGGATCTGATGGAGGGTGATTTGGCCCGACCTCGTAGCACGGGGACACGTGGGTACAACCTGGCATAAGTGACAGCTTAGCGTGGCAGCCTGGCCATAACTCGGCGTATTGAACTCGCCGGAACCCAGCAATACAACTCGGCAGACGTAGCAGCTCGCCAAGAATAAACATCTAGCATACTCCGAATTCTCCCCAAGGGAGGAGGACTCCCGAGCTCCTCCTAGTGAGCCCCAAACTCTTCCTTCCTGAGAAGGGAACACCCCGATCTACGGGAAGTATCCCGAAGTGGGGACACTTCGGGATAGCCCCACTGACGCTCCTGCCCGTACTTGCCTAAGGCTCGCCTCAAGCACTCGCACCTCGGCTACCCCAGCACCCCAGTGTAGGGTAGCTCGGACCAAGGTAGCTCGGACCAAGGCAGCTCGGCGCAAAGTAGCTCAGCAACCTACAGAAAAGATCTACCTAACAATAGTACATGCCGAATCTGGAGGTTGCGCCTGACAGGTCCGTACCCTGCAACAGCTGCCCACATCCGCAACCTCGGCTCTGGCAATAACGGCTGTGGCAGAGGCAGTTATGCTTGATTTGAGAGATCTTCAATATAAAAAGACCTCAACCCTTGAAGAGAAGAGGTATTGAAGTTGTGCCATCTGCACTCTCACTTCTTTGTTTTGTATTCTTCGGTTTTCTCAGAGTTCTAACTTAAGCATCGGAGTGTTCCCGCCGGGCGAGCTCCTCGGGAATTCTTCACCTTCTCCTTCGCGTCAGGTACCGTCCGTCACCAGCTGGGAGCCAGGTTTCCGCCAGTTAGGAGTGCCCGGATCGTGCAACATCATTTGGCGCCGTCTATGGGAACACTTCAAAAAGCCTTCCTCTAATCTCCACAACTCCCTCTCAAAAATCCAGCATTCATGGCTTCTTCCAGCAATGTCGGACGAGGTGCAAACCGAAACACCTCTGAGGAACAACCCCAACTTTCCACTGTCTGCATCGGATAATTCACCGTCCCCCTCTCTGCAGACGGAGTTCCCAGTCTGAATGTGCCTCAAACAGTGGCACCTGTGAACGTTCCACTTCCCCCTATGATTGGAACAACCTTCGCTGAACCCTCCGTCATCCCTCCGGTGGCCAGCCAAAGCCAACTTGAGGACCTGATGCAGTGCATGCGAGTTATGCAAGCTCAAATGCAATAGTTTCAATAGCTTCAACTTTATCAGCAGCAAGTGTTGCACCAAGTTTCCCAGTATCAGTATCAATAGCAATTTCCCCCACTGCCTCAGGCCCAGCAGCCACTCCCTCCTCGGCATCCGGCCACGCAGCAAACTAAGCCCCGCCGCCGGAACGAACTTCCTTCTCGCCGAGGAGAGACCTCGGCATCGTGGCAGAAAAGAGAGACCAGCTACCCCTGCCTTGCAGCCTGCAGTTAGGTCGGGGGCCTCCCAGCCAGTTAGGCCCGCGTCGCCTCAGCATTCGTAGTTCTAGCTCTCACTTGCGGAAAACCAGTTCAAGGTGCTGGCCACAGACTTGAGGCAAGGCCCCTCAGTTCACAGCTACCAACAGCAGTCTGAGCCCCTCCCTGGGCCCATCGAGCTCGGTAATACAGAAGCCAACAGCATCAACGTTGAGCCAATAAGGAAGCAACGGAGACGCCGCCAAGCTCGCCGAGCTCCCACTCACGATCTGCCGGAGCTCCAGGGTAAGGAAGAGGTAAGCTCGGGTGAAGTAAAAGTTACCCCACTTCTTTCATTTTCTTCTCCTCTATCGCCAGAACTTCTTGCTGTTCCTATGCCAAAGGATTTCAAGCTTCCCCCATTAGATAAATATGACGAATCCTTTGACTCGAACAACCATGTGGACGCCTTCCAGTCCCAAATGCACCTGGCAAGGGCCAATGAATCCTGTATGTGCGTAGCTTTCTCCACCACCTTCAAAGGGGTAGCCTGTACATGGTACCAAAACCTTGCGCCCGGATCTATAAGGAGCTTGGCGCAGTTCGTGCAAGTCTTTGTTTCCCACTTTGTCACCAACAAGAGATGCCCAAGAGCTCAAGAGAGCCTCCTTGGCATAGTCTAGAAGGAAGGGGAGTTCATCCAAAGTTATATCAAGCGATTCAACGACGCTTGTTTGCAAATACTCGACTTGAACCCCACAGTTCGGCTCATTGCGGCCAAGCGAGGTATCACCCATAAAGAATTCAAGTGGGATGTGGTTGTTAATCAGCCCAAGACTATGACCGAGTTCCTTAAGCTCGTGGATCAGTTTATAGGGACGAAGGAGAAGATCAACTAGAAAGGTGAATAGGCCCTTGAGAAAAGAAAAAGGGAGATAAAGCCCTCAACCCAAGGCGATAATAAGAAGAAGAAGGACCAAGCTCGGGGGGCAAGGCCAGGATAGCCTTTCCGAGCTCCGGCAGCAGAAAGGGCAAACAACACGCCCCTGAACGTGAAGCGGGCCGAGATCCTTATGGCCATCAAGGATGCCCCATATGTGAAGTGGCCACCTCGGTTGAAGGCAAACCCTAATGCAAGGAATAAAAATTTGTATTGTAATTTCCATAAAGACCACGATCATAGTACCAAAAACTGTAAAAACCTTCGCAATGAGATATAGGAGCTCATCCATCGTGGATACCTAAGGAATTTTGTACAGAATAATAATAATAATAAAGCAGGTCGGCAGGGGGAGCAGAGTAAAGACGCTCCTGAACCCAGCAGGCAGGCAGAGCAACCGCAGAGGTAGCCCCCAGAAGAGAGACCAGTTCGGGGGACTATCCACGTGATCATTCGAGGTTCAATTGTCGCGGGCTGCACTTCGGCAGCAGCTCGGGCATCAGCTCGCGAGGCCGCTAGGGAAGAGCAGAATCCCCCGAAGCAGCCAAGGATGGAAGACTCGATCTTCTTCACAAAGGAYGACACACACAGGATCCACTACCCCCATGATGACGCGCTCGTCAGAAAGATAAAGATTAACGACTTTGAAGTCAGGCATGTCCTCGTCGACTCAGGCAGCTCGACGGATATCCTTTTCAAAGCAGCATTCAACCAGCTCTAGCTCCAAGAAAGTAACCTGAAGCCCGCAAATACTCCCCTGGTAGGCTTTAGCGGAGAGGAAGTCAGGCCCCTGGGAATGATTACAGTACCTGTGGAAGTCGGCACTTGGCCTAGCATAGTGAGGCTCAACCACGACTTCTTAGTGGTCGCAACCCCCTCCCTGTACAATGCCATAGTAGGTCGGCCGGTCACCCATGCCCTACGTGCTGTGGTTTCCACTTACTATCTGGCAATGAAGTTCCCCACAGACTTCGGAATCGGGATAGCGCGGGGTGACCAGCTTGAGTCTCGCAAGTGCTACATCGCCGCCCTCAAAGGGAAAGCTAAGGTGGCCGATGACCTCGAGCTGGAACGACCTACGGAGCAATGCGAGGAACGAGCTGTACCCACAGAAGAGACTGTCTCCATCCCGGCATCAACAGAGGACCCAGCTCGGACACTTCAGATCGGCGCTTCTATTGAGGAAACTCTACGATCCCAACTAGTAAGTTTTTTACTCAAAAATTTAGAAGTTTTTGCATGGTCCGCGACAGAGATGCCCGGCATAGACCCTAGCATTATGACTCACAAGCTGAATACTGATTTTGTAGTTAGGCCCATTAGACAGAAGAAGCGCAACTTATCCCCAAAGCGATGGAGGGCAGTCGACGAGGAGGTCAGGAAGCTCCTCATAGCCGACTTTATCAGGGAAGTCCATTACATGAGCTAGGTGGCCAACCCCGTTCTGTTAAAAAAGGCTAACGGTAAATGGCGCATATGCGTTGATTACACCGACCTGAACCGAGCTTGTCCAAAGGACTGCTTCCCACTCCCCAGGATCGACCGTCTGGTGGACGCGACCTCAGGGCATGAGTTGTTGAGCTTCTTAGATGCCTATTCGGGCTACAACTAGATCAGGATGGATCCAGCTAACAAAGAAAATACTGCCTTCATAGCCGAGCTCGGCCTGTACTATTACAAGGTCATGCCCTTTGGGTTGAAAAATGCTGGGGCAACCTTTCAGAGACTTGTAAATAAATTATTTGAGCCACTGATTGGTAGGAAAATAGAATGTTATGTAGACGACATGGTCGTCAAAACCCAATTTTCACATGATTTAATATAAGATTTGCATTCGGTTTTTGAAATTCTGCGTAAGTTTAACATGGATTTGAACCCGAATAAGTGTCTTCGGTGTCACCTTGGGTAAATTCCTAGGGTACATCATTAACCGGCGCAGCATTGAGGCCAACTCGGACAAACTTAAGGCTACCCTAGAAATGAAACCACCCCGGAAATTGAAAGAGGTTCAGAAGTTGAACGACCATTTAGCCGCTTTGAGCCGTTTCATGTCCAAGTCGGCAGACCGTTGCCTGCCTTTCTTTAAGGCAATAAAAAGCAAAGGCTTCAAATGGATTGAAGAATGTCAGCTCGCATTCGATGAGCTCAAAAAGTACCTCGCCAGCATCCCTGTCTTAACCCGACCTGAAGAGGGTGATGTTTTAGAGCTGTACCTCTCGGCAAGTGACGAGGTGGTCAGCTCGGTATTAATAAGAGAAGTAGATCGGTTCCAACGACCC